AGAGAGAGAGAGAGAGAGAGAGAATTAGGACGGCACAACAGAATTGGCAGACCAGAATCTACGTGGCAAGTGGCCAGGTGGAGCCCGAGGGAGGGGGTCAAACGCATCATGAGTCTCGTATCTCCCTTCATGCCCACAAGAGATCTAAGCCCTGCCCACCTTGAATTTCAATGACTCTTATCTGCCGCCAATTTGTTTTGACTATTATCAAGAGCCGTGATGGTGCAGTGGTTGGTATGCACTACTGCGAGCTACTTCTGCTGCCTGCCGGCTGCCTGCACTTCAGCGGTTCGATCCTGACCGGCTCAAAGTTGACTCAGCCTTCCATCCTTCCGAGATTGGTAAAATAAGGAGCCAGATTGTTGGGGGCAATAGGCTGACTCTGGTTTACAGGGGGCTGTGAAGTACTGTGAAGCCGTATATAAGTATAGGTATAAGGTATATAAGAAGAGGGAGTTCCGTCTCTTCTTGAAAGCCTCCAGTGATGAAGCTCCCGAAACTTCTGAAGGCAAGCTGTTGATTGTTCTCACTGTCAGAAAATTTCTCCTCAGTTCTAGGTTGAATTTCTCCTCAATCAGTTTCCATCCATTATTCCTTGTCTGGCCTTAAAGTGCTTTGGAGAATAGCTTGACTCCCTCTTCTTTGTGGCAACCCCTGAGATATTGGAAGACTGCTATCATGTCACCCCCTAGTCCTTCTTTTCATTAAACTAGACATACCCAGTTCCTGCAACCGTTCTTCATATGCTGAGCCTTCAGTCCCCTAATCATCTTTGTTGCTCTTCTCTGCACTCTTTCTAGAGTCTCAGCATCATTTTTATAGTGTGTGAGAAACTCACCCAAACTGAGAGCCAGTTCCAACTGTGCTGTAAGTCAATGCTCGTTCACTCTCTTGTACTTTCTGGGAAAGCAGACTAGCCAAGGCGGGAAAATAAACTCCTAATAAGGTGGACAGAAGAACAGGAAACAGAAAGAAATCCCATTACTCAACTTACACCATTCATATGAGCCACGGTGGTGCAGTGGTCAAAGTGCAGTACTGCAGGCTACTTCTGCTGACTGCCGGCTGCCTGCAATTTGGCAGTTCGAATCTCAGCAGGCTCAAGGTTGACTCAGCCTTCCATCTTTCCGAGGTGGGTCAAATGAGAACCCGGATTGTCAGGGAAAATAGGCTGACTCCGTAAACCTCTTAGTGAGGGCTGTAAAAGCACTGAAACGGTATGTAAGTCTAAATGTTATTGCTATTATTGTTCTGAAATGAACAGTTCCACCTCTAGGAACTGAAATAATAAGAGACCTATTTTAACTAATTATTTTAAGTGCTATTGCTGTGGCTATCACTTTTTGCGACCTTCTGACAAGCAAAGTCAATGGGGAAGTCAGAGGACCCTTAATAGCTTAACAAGCGCGGTGATTCACTTAACAACTACATCAAGAAAGGTCATAAAATGAATGTATGATGGACAAGGACAATGATGAACATAAGCATACTCGATGGATGATTGGCGGGATTATACATAATTGAAAGTGATGTATAAATATAAACAGCTAGTAAACTCTTTTACGCTGTAAAAATATTCAGAATGAGATAAGTGATTACATAAAAGTATATTGTTATTAAACAGACAATCAAGAATGTAAGGGAATTAGGTTCGTTGAAAAGAAAGAAATATGAATCGTAATTGAATATAGGTTGTACAATGAAAGTTGAAGGTTTGAAGGTTTATTGCATTTATATGCCGCCCTATTCCCCGGAGGGACTC